AACCCGGCCGAGGTCGATAGAAATCCATAGCACAACTTCCTCCGGCGCGGAAGAAAAGCGGGCGGTCCCATGACGTAGATTTACGGCGCGGCGTTAAAGAAACTTACGAGCATGAACGAGATGTTTCTTATGCAAAATTCAGCCATTAGCAATAATATTCTGGTGAAGGGGGACATTTTTAGTTCAGACATTCTCAAGATAACAAATGATCGGTGCTACTCGTACTACATGACTGAAACTTCGGACTCTGAATGCATGTTCTTGTAGGAGTTCAAAATCACGCTAAAAGGCTCAAAATTGTGGCCATTTTTTGCTTACGTACGACATGCTTAATTTTGCCCACTTTTTAACAACACATTCTTTCACAGTTGTCTTATTACCAATCATATTTCGTTCTATGCAGGATTGGAGGTTTTGGCGTTTTCAGACAGCAAGAAGCACGAATCTAGAATTTTGTTTACACGTGTCCTGCTATTTCTTTGGATGTCGAAGGTTTTCCTAGCAGCTTAGATAGGCGTGAAGGCAGAAAACGAGTTGATGGTTAAGAAAAGATTTTGGCTGTGATGGTTGTTTGAAACGCCATATCATGCAAATATTGAATGAGAGAAACATGAATAGAACCCGGTTTTGGTACCGTGTAGCATCACGAACGTCATGTACATTTAGAAATGAGTGTATAAATGTCAGAACACATTTGTTATTAAGTTTTGTGATCCGGAATGCGAAATACACTTCTGGGGAATGTGTAACTCATGCCCGTCGTTCGAGTGTCAGTAGGTATTGACTGTTGAAACTTTGCCGACTGTCCAAATTTGTTCAAAAGTTACAATGAAATACTTACTTAGGATATTTAGACGACCCGTTCTTCAGTGCCTTGAGCATCTGCGGGTCCCAACTTTTCGTTAGCTTTGATTTATTAGACAGTTGGTAGGACTCCTTGGACGAGTGATCGGCCTGTCGCAAGGCCTCTACCTGTACACAGGCCAGCACAACACAGAGAGACGCGGACAAACATGAGTGGGATTCGAACCCACGGTCCCAGTGACCAAGTGGCTCAAGGCCCATGCCTCGGACCACGTGGCCACTTATAAATCAACTGGTACGTCTCGGGTCCACAGAGAAACAATGTTTATAGTCGTATTTTGACTAGATTCAATAAGCACTCGTGTACGGTTAGGTATGACAAGGTTGTCCGTTCATAATTGCTAGTTCAATTTTTGGCGATTTCAGAGCCTGAAATACACGAATCTGGAGTTTCTTTCATAGGGATCAAGCGACTTCGTTGTATGTTGGAGGGTTTTCATAGCAGCTTAACATGGCCTTTGGAATTGTTCCCTCCTTGAGAGCCTTAAGTGCGTCTTCATACTGGCTTAAGGAGTTTGTCTTGATGCTAAGTTTTCATAGTGCAGATGCCTTCACATGCCAGTCGATAAAATTAATTATGTGTTGTGACACAATAATATGGAGAATAAATGCAGATTAATTGCCCGACAACTCCTGCAATTCATAATATACTGGCAGGAGTTTCTTAAGTGTGTGTTCTACTCCTAAAATCAAGCCAAGATAAAGCTCCTATAATCAAATGGTCACAAGTGCCTTGTGAGAGGCTGCAGCAATGAAGCATCAGTTCAGAAGTAATATTTGGACAGGAATAACTCGTGATCACATTAAGAGTTGGTGTTTAAACTCTTAGGGTGTCTTATGTATATTTTC